CCATTAAAATAACCTACCTTTTTTTCGGCCATTTTTTAAACGGCGGCTTCGCTCCCAAAGTGTTCTCAGCTTCCCGGATAGGGCACAGTGGCGTAGCCACAGGAGGCCCGGGGGGCATGTGCCCTCCCACAAATTCCCGTTGGTCCCCCCCCACTGAAAAAAACCACGGAGGAAAGACATCCTTCCTCCATGAAAAAAACGTAGGAATGGATATATTGAACAAGGCTAACAGAAACTTGCCCCTAAAAAACACCTCACTGAAAGCTTGTGCCCCCACCAGTAAAGTCCTAGCTACTCCACTGATTGGGCAATTATTTTTCGGCGTCCCAGACTTTAGAAGTTCTGGCGACAGAATGCATGACGTAAAGCTAAGGAAAAGAATTTTTTCATTTCGGTCCGATTGTTGAAGGTCTACAAAAAATTTGTAGTTAAACGGTCAGAGATAAAGCTGCTGCCGCCAATGAAACCAAGCTTTGAAAAGGATCAGTGACAATCCTCGACCAGCGAATTTAGTAGAAGCAACGAGCAGATAGTTAAGTTGGCTGACAAAATTACTGCTAAAGCTTTATGATCAATGCATACCGAGATCTCTCCATGTGATTTTTATGGGACAAGGTGATTTTATTTTCCTGTGAAATTAATTCACCCACTACAATAGTCCAAGTAACTTGGACCCTACAAATTGCCTTTTTAAAGATTTGGACAAGGTCGGGCGATAGTAGGGTCCAAATTACTCAGACTACCAATATGATAACAGTGTACGAATTACATCCATAAGCTTTGATGGTGGCATGGGAACAGCTGTCCACCACAAAATCACAACTTGGTGTAACTTGGAATAAAAGCCTGTGCCCTCTTGGTTACCCCCCCCCTCATCATATGAAATTTGGAACCTCCTCCAACTCCAAGCTACAGTTCGGTTGCTTTCATTGCTCCCTTGGAAAAAATTGTGTGTACCCTGGTTCCCTCTTTATTCACCCTATTACGGCACCCATTCCATTCTCAAGTAAAAACTAAAATGAACTGTGACAAAGGTACGCTTTACTCACTGTTGTCCTTTATCTGTAAAATGACGCAATTTATTTATGTGGTTAGACTTCAGCAGACTCTGACAGCGGTAACACTGCACTCATGGCTAGTAACGGCCAAGTCCAAATTCTTCAATGATTGTGTTCAGAGTCTCCAACAGTATGACTAACAATGCTTCATAAATTGCTGAAAAGATTACTTGACAAGCATTAAACAGCACATTTTACTAGATATGACATTTGTGGATATACATGTACATGGACTGAATAAATATTTACACCTCCCACATGCATCAGATGAAGTCTGAACAGTTGCATTGTTTAAAACCCACAAACAGATAAAATCTCTTAAGAGCTGGACAGTTTGAAGCCAGAACATTACATGTATACTCATGTACAGACAGATGATGACGGAGATATATGGTTAGAACAGGAATTCAGTCTGACCGGTAAAAACAGCCCGCACCAGACACGAACTGCATGCTACATCCAGGTCAAGTTATTTGGCCAAAAATATAAGGCATCATTATCATGCATGTACTGCTCCAAACTATTTTTGAAATGTTTTCCAACTATTTTATGTACTGAATTCAAAAGCAATCTTAAAGATTTCTTACAGAGCTATGATTAATACTATTACACAATAATACAGAAACCGGCAGCAACACAGAAAATAACATCGATAAGCTTGGGGCGTGTGCTCAGATAAGACCTTCCAATATACATGATGAACGCAGTACATGTTAAAAGCACTGTGATTGACATACATGTCGTCGCATATCTGACGAACCGACGAAAACAAGTTACCACCGTTTTCGAGAAAAACATGTTTTAAGTTAAGCAGTTATTGTGTGCTCATTTTAGATATTTAATTCAACCCTCTTTTGATCTCTGTCTATAAAAGATACAAAAGAGGTCTCTGAAATCATTTCCTAATTTGTATTTCTGGCTCTGTGAGCAATACTTTGTTTGAATACTGCTGTCAAACCTATTCTTCAGTTCGTGAGACAAAATCTGCAGATCACCGAAATGGTCGATTCGCTGATTCATCAGATGTGCGACGATGTATTTGTAAATGGCAATTAATGTGTACACATATGTAATGAATTGCAAAGAAGTTATTTTGCAGCAGTGCCAGTGTCTAGTCCCCTGACTTTGGATACATATGTACGTACTTTGAGATCTGTATGCAACTAGCAACACCTAAGCCTTTCCGGTTTTACAATGTATATTTCACCAGCCTACATAGGCTGGACAGCATGTACGAGAATAGGGGATCACTAATCCACGTCTCTGCATGCATGCCAAGGAAAGAAAAACGTGCATGTACAGTGCTTTTTTATTTCAGAAGTGAAACAGAGTACCATGGAAGTGATATCTTTTGGGTTCATTTCCATTTGCCTTTCCACTTCTTAACTTCCCCATAATGAATCCGCTTTAATACACAGCTTACCTTCCACCGAGTAGCTTTATCACTGCCTTGGTTTCAATGACATATCCAGCGGGGAATAGGAGGGCAAGTATCATGGCCCTTTGGAGACATATTGCCATTTTTTTTTAAGGAACTCACAACACCAACATATTAGAGACAGCACTACCACTTTTTGGAGGTAGGGAGTCATAAGGATTGCAAAAAATAAAACAAACATGGATAAAAATTTTGGAGTCATTTTAAGAAAAAAAATTCTATTTTGGCCCCATCTCCGACCACAGTCCCCTTATCTAAGATCAGGATACATCACTGCTTTGATTTCATTAGATGAGATGATTATAATGGGTGACTGACAAATATGTACATAATACAAATGACTATCATATATATACACTAAAAATATGCATGGTTATCATGGTCTGAAAATACACCTGTAACTTCGGTCATAAATGGTAGAACATGAATTCATAAAAATACACCGTTTTTCATGTACAATGGTTTCTATTTGCTGAGGAATGGTCAGCCTACAATGTCGATTGCTACCTTTGGTTCCAGTAAATTGAATATTCAAAGTAGGCACTATGTCTTTCAAATATGGTCACATAATTTGTCGCCATTATTATTAACTGCATCTACATGCAGATGTGGAGTTTCCAAGTAATGCTTAATAATTAAATTCTAACCCCAAAAGACGCCTTTTCTCCGTGGATATTTGCTTATTTTATACAATACCAGAATAAATCCCCATCATCTGATTGGCGGATTGTCAATCACGTCACTGACTTTTCCATCCATATGCACAGGCAAAAATTCCATTGTGCAGTAAATGGGACGTTCTATTGTACTGTCAATAGAAATTTCTAAGCTCACCCATTGTAGGTCAGTTACAACGCATTTGTTCCAGCAGGGATTTTTGCAAGATTTATTCAAGTGATGCCGGAGGTTTTGGGACGTATGCAGGCATTTCATTAAACTGATGGGTGTTTCATATTAATATGGTGTGATCGTAAGAAAAGATTCATTTCTTGACAGACAGAAATGTACTATTCCGCTCAGCTTTCATCTCACGGAATGGAACACATGTATTCCATCTTTTCTTTCATGAAACTGTTCTTACCACTGCGCATACGAACAGTCATCACTTGTATTCTACAATATATTACAGTGGGGCATTGTGATATCTACGTATACTCAACAGGCTGGCAAACACAAATACACATCATTGGAAATTTAAATGTGAACTGAAAAAAATTTTTTTTAAAATTCCTTCTACATGTACAATGTAGTATGAAAAGAAACTGTGCTTTCCTTTGAGCATGACCCACAATTTTACAGCTTTTTCTAATGAAACAGAAAACAGTATTACTATTAAACCTCTCTAAAACTTCCATTACTCATAAAGCATCTATCACATTGTAGTTATCTTAGCTCTAACCCCAGATATTTCACTAGGGTAATTCCCGAAACCTTCAAAATCATCAGCTGTGCAGAAGCCCCACGTCACAAGCTCTGTATTTAAACTTATCGGAGGGCATCAAGTCCCAAGTAAGGGAACACATGGCAGGCTCCCTCTTCCTAAATTCTTCAAAGTCCTTCAAACCTACCATGTACTGGTGCATGTACATATTTGGATTTTAAAGAATCTGGAATCTTAGGAAGCTGAGGGTTAGTTGTGGTGCAACTATAGATCCAAATTGACCATGGTTCAGCACCTCCATTCTCTACATGACGTGCAACCTATATTTACACACGCCCATCCTAAAATGCTTCACAACCTGCCAGAGAACAGAGCCAATACATGTGCTTTAATAACAAATTCAAAGTATCTCTACAGTAGCAATTACTGAAACACTTTCATTGATATATGCTTCACCTACCAATGGGAACAGTATAGTCACATTTCTGTGCTATTTATTGGATTACCAGTGAAATAAAACTTATAAAAAAACAAATTCTGGGTACCGGGTACTTCATGTATTAAAAAGCTGATAATTTTACAACCCAGACTGCATTTCAACAGTAGCATACAGTGCAGTCCAACATTAATTAAGAAATCACAATTCATAGACAAATAATCATACTTTCACTTTCCATCATAAAGCTAGTTATTGTCTTCAGCTGACACGAATCACGCATCTTTGTTTTGTATCATACTGTTTTAACAAGCCTCTAATGAAAGCGAAACCTTTGCCATCAGTGTGCATACAGCTGAGGGAAGCTTTAGTTATGAATACATCAACGCTGACCCTGTTCAAAATGAAAGCAATGTGCTGCTTTCCTCCTGGCAACATAAGTGCCTGCTAAACACCATTCCATAGAGTCCGAAAGTAAGACTAAGGACTACATGTACTTTTAGAAATATGTACTCAGTGAAAACAAATGGAAATTCACCACTCTTTGATACAGGGAATTCAGAAATGTTATACTTCAGGAAATACACATGTAGATGAAAAGTAATAATTCCTTTTACCTACAGGTTTAAAATCGTTTTAAATTCAACTTTTTTTCTCATGTTACTCAGTAATAAAGTGCTAAGTTACAAGTCGTCCCCCGTAATTTCACTTTGAAATTGCTGTATTTTTAACCACTCCAATGGCTCCCTACAAAGTCAGATTCTTTCGCATACAGCATGGACAGTCTTTTATAATGGGCATGGTTTTATTCATATATATATTCCTTTTCCGTAATGTTTTGATAATATGCTGTCAAAATTCTTTTGTGGCTGTGAAAAAGCCAGGAGTGAACTCTTAGCCCCTTCATTCTTGGGCCCCGCAAAAAATAACAATGCTTCTCCCATGTGTATTTTTTTTTCTCCCACGCAAATTTTTTTTCTTTTAGATATGGAAAGAGGGGCCTTGCAAAATCACTTGGGGGTCTCCCCACATTCCGTGATTGGCACATCCGTGTTTATGTAGCATTCCACAGTAAGAACATGACCCAGCCCGGCATTGTGTGCCACTGCTGTCATGCACGGATCCACACCTTTCCCTGCCAGCATGTGTACATTTAGAGTATATCACATGTACATGCCATGTAAAAATTGCATGTATTTCCCGCAAAAAATATCTGTATATAATATGAGGGCGTGGGGAGTCAAAATTGATAATTTCTACTTTCCCGCAGCCCCAGCATGAGACAAGTTGCATTGCGAGCGCAGTGTGGGTTAGTGTAAGAGACTTGATGACGCATGTATGGCACATTGGTTCCTACTGCCAAAAATAGCAAGAACGGCATGGAATGGCCCGGAACCAACAATTCCCGTGACAACCCGAATTGAAAAACCTGTAATTAAAATTAACATCCCCCCATACAAAGTACATCTTCAAAAGAGATTCAGCGAATGAGTTAGTTCACAGTACTACAGAACTACAAACCCCTTCATGTGTAGGTATTTTCCACTTTCGTGAAATTTGAAGGTTTTAAACTTTTAGTGCACATTTTTTCCCCTTTGCAGCATGTACATAGATGTATGCACTGGTCACCATTTCATGTAAGTCGGCAAAATGGGGACTTACAGTAAAGTCGCCCTCCGTGTAAGTTGTCACAATTTTCGGGGTCCCAAGGGTGCTGACTTAGCCGGAGTTTACTGTAGCTGGTGATTCCTGGCAAGGTTTTTATGTCACCAAATTCTGTGCCAGGGGAAATTTCTCTTAAATATTCAACATCCAGCACTTGAAAAAAAAGAAATATTCATTTTTTAGAATTGTTTTGTCCAATGCGTTCTTGATACCTTTTTGTAAATCTATAGCTTTGTCATGTGTCCACCAGGTGCACAGGCAGCCGGCACCAGTGGTGCTGAAGTCTCACCCAAGCCACTTTTTTTCCTGGTTGGTGAGGGAGTCCTTGCTCAAACAGTAGATACAGCCGCATGGTAAGAAGCAGTGCTATCCTCATGGTTTATAAAATTTTGAAGTAGAGAGAGAAACAGTGACCGATAACCAAGAGCTCCACGATCAGGAGCTTGAACGAAGAAGGCAATGACTTATTGTCAACGTAAGTTGTACTTTTTCCTTTGAACACTCTCATCACATGCAAACTGAGACAAGTCAGAAGTTGAAAGTGAACTTAAACATACTATTAAAAAATTGAGTTGTTCAGAAACCCTAAATCTGTATTCAGTACCCACCATTTATAAAAAAAGAATGAAAAGACAGACAAAAACTTGTATTTAAGGGACAAACCTAACTTTGATGTCCAGTACTTGGAATGGTAGATTGCGGCACAGTAATGTGGGGGCCGCTGGATAATGTGGCAAGATCCACTGGTGATGCCGTGGGTGGCTGGGGTGGAAATGAAGAGGATTCGTTAACAGAGGGCTCAGAGTACGCGGAAGCAGGGAAGGAAGTGTTTCCTGGATAAGCCGGTGGTGGGCCGGAAATCTGGGCCTGTACTGGATGAATGGAGTCAACTGGCTGGACAGCACTGGTTGCTTCTAAAATTTGAAGAAAAACAAAAACCGCATAAAAATTCACATTTTGTTCTGCTCAGTGGCATCAAATCAGTCTTTAAACTCATGAACAAACCTGGTCATCAACAACAATGCCCCAATACTTGAGTACACTGCATTGGCAGCATGTATACGTGAGCCACTTTTCCAGTGAAGGTTTTCAACCTTGTTCTCAGTTTTTGATAGCCTGACAGTGGCAGCAAGCAGTTGAAAAATTACACCAGCCTGCAAAAGCAGCACACTGAACTACAACAAATCTAAATATCAAAGTAAAAGGGTGACTTGATTCCTACTCCACATGTAAATTTTCCCCACCTTTTTTTTTCACACTGAACTCACGTCTGATGTTTTTGTTTTTAAGTTTGCTCAGTGCAACATTCTGATGAGTAACATGACTCCACAGGTGGAACCACTTACAATTCTTGGTGAACTCTGCTGGCCATTAGTTTTTGTTGTTCTCATTTTTCTGGGATTATGGTCTGACTGCAGCCACATCTGAAATGTGAATTCTTGTACGACTGAAGCCTTAGACCCCAAACTGTGAATGCATCTCTGACATGGCCTCACCTGGCTCTGCCATGGTGTACGGCGGGGGCATTCCCGTCACCTCCTCGTACTTGGGAAGTTTCCATTCTTGGCTGCTGTACTCCGGGGGTCCAGTCAACTGCCCCTGCGGGTTAAGGGCATCCCCATACCGAGGCTGCACGGGGCACTCCACCATCCCTTGATTGTCGTGCGCAGCCAGAGACTCCGCTTGTGGTAAATTCTGCAACGACAAAAAAGATTCAGACGTTATCACATCTCACCAGGGTTCCTCTCTGATCGAGAGCATCCCAAACAAATAGGAACCTTTTTTTTTATTGTATTCTCAGATTGTTTATAAACTATCTCTCCCACAAATAACACGAACACGAAAGCCAAGCACATTTTTTCAGTCAAATTCCTGACGAAAACATGCCATTGTTGTAATAACATAATGCCTACCCTGATATTCCATTCTTTGAAACTTTTCAATTCCAGACCAATGAAACAACCTTGTGAAACAGAATGGATTGACAAATACATGTAGGTGTTTACATGGTGTTTGGTTAAAATTCAGTCAAGCATTTGCAAGTAGGTACCTGTCTTTCCTCTGATCGTGGCGATTGGTTCACCCACCCCCGTGCCGAGATAACAGCGCAACGAGTGGTACCATCAGGCATGATGATACGCACTTCGCGAGTTGCTGAACTTCGTTTGACCTGGTACCAGCACAGGTACACCGTCAGCTTCAGGACAATGGCAAAAATCAAAATTCTGGGGGAAAAATAAAAGCAAAAAAAGAAGATTATTTTTACACATTACCAGGACCCACTCAAAAAAATTCACATTAAAATGCTGTATGAAAAAGAGGAAGACAACTGCAAAGTCATTACAGCCACCAGACCCAATCAATCAGAACGCCTACGTGTACACACAAAGATAAGGGGCTAAAATTTTGACAAATACACTTGGCTAGAGGAGCTGAAGATGAAGTCAAAGAAAAAATGGTGCACGGAAAATACTTACACATAGAAGTAATACTCCATCGTGCTGGTGAGAATACAAAAGGCGGTAGAAATTTTTTTTCAGCACCTTTTGGATGAAATGCTACGTACGTCCAGAAATTTCTTTACAAAACTGCAAGCTTGGACCGTGAAATCACCAATCTCTAAAGTCTTCAACAAACACCTATTAGCAGAAAGAATGAGAAAAATTCTTAAGGTTTTGGTGGCACACAATCAACACATCATTTAAAAAAATGCTAATTTACCTTTCCATCCATCACATAAACTAAAATGGGTGGATGGCACATGATGGGGTACGTTGCTCAAGCACACGTATCTCCCAAAACCAAGTGCAAGTCATCCTATACTGCATAGACCCATCCATACAATATCATTCAAACTCCAACGGGCTCATTCTGTTGGGGTTTATCAGGGTTTGGTACAGTAACCTGCATGTAAAAGTACATAGACAAGTACATGAACCTGTTGGATTTTGTGAGGTTGAGTATGCTTTTTAGTGCAGGAGCCTAGGGGGTTAGGGCTAATGGGGACTCATCTCCTAGTCCTGCGAGACATGTACTACGCCACAGTTGGGCCAGCCCAGCTGCAACACCACAGTTGCGACCGATGCTATAGTTGGGGCTTAAAGAGTCTAATTTGTTTTCACCAAAACCTCTTGAAAATGCACCTTTGTACTTTAATGAACATAAATTTCTTTCTTTTTGGGCTGTTTGAAAACTATTGCGTGACCTTTTGGAGTTTATGCTAATTCAAAGTTACATACACGTATATCACAAGTAAAACTTGGAAACCATTCCAAGGAGAAATGCTCCATGTTGCACTGATTGATTTGTACACAAAACAGAGGGGATGGGAAGAGTTCCATGTATGTCCCCGCTAATTATTCCCTACAGTGACCTATTTGACACCAGAAAGTAGAATCATGTCCAAAAAAGTTCAATTTAGGCATGTTGGCAGGGAAAATACCAAGTTGATTATTGAGGAAACACTTTTCTCAGACAAATCTCATAGGGTAGGGGCATTTTACATTCTGTTGTCCTAAACTCATGAACTTTAAACGTCACTTGACCCCGGCCTACAGACGGCTGTTCCATGTCAAAATATATCTTATATACAACTGAAGTCTCGCAGACGGAGTGATTGTACAGGTAAGTTTATTTTTGGTAGAGTTTTTGACAAGGAACAGCCGTCTGTGGGCCGGAGTTAAGTGATGTATAAAGTTTAACAGACTCATTTTAATTTAAAGATGGCGTGAGAGAGCGCGACCGTGAGATTGAATGGGTAAAGGCAAAAAGACCAGAAAATACCAGAATAACGTGAGTGAAATCATTCAACATGGTCATTAGAAAGCAGAGAAACTAAGGATCACTTGTGTGTGCAAAAAAAAATTGTGCCTACGATTATAAAAGGGTACGCCAAAGATTTCACTACACCGACACTGCAATTGCTTATACGGATGTATGGCTAAGGATGGAGCAGTAGCGAGGGTCCATGTCACATTAGTGGAGCTAATTTGGGGGTAACAGAAAAACCAAGGTTTTTCCAGGAATGAAATCACACCAACCATGGCAAATGTGCCCTCACTACTTACTTCCAGAACTGTAAGGATACAAACCTTTCTATAAAACCTTCATACAAATTTCTATTGGTTGAACTGAATGGTGTGCTGATGACGTTCACCAACTACAAATCGTCTCTTATTTCACAGTCATACATCATGTGGATGGGACGTTTCATTGGACAACACATTACAGTTACAGTACACGTACTGGAAAAAGACATCGATGTAGTGGAAATGCATTCGCTAGCAAAGGGTGTGCGGTGGCCACAACATGACCAAAAATGTGTTCCTTCCTCCATGGTTGGAGCGAAGCAGACGTCGGATCATGGGATCCCACAGTTCTGGGGTAACTGATTACGACTATAAAGTTACGAAACTCGCTTTTCTACCATCCAGACTTTTCATCATCACAAAGGCCCCCTAGTCTAAAACTGCATGTAAGCATAGACATGATAGAGCAAGGAAACAGAAGACCTCACCACGCGTGGCAGTCACGTCACTGCAGCAGGTATTTGGACATGTTGGAGGAAGGAACAGCCACCACAAATTAAAATAGCCTACATCATGTACATGTATTCACTAATTTCCCTAAACATACAAAGAGATAAATGAAAAAATGCTCACCAAATGCATCTTCCATTTTGCCATGAAATGGATTGTTTCAAATGCTATTCTTTGTGGAATTCTGATGTACGTACTGTCTTTTTTCGTAATCAGCAAACTTATATTTTTGTTCCAGCGACCAACGGAAAAGCTACAGGCTGGGTCATGTACATTGTTTACTGTGATATGTTTAAGGTAATGTACAAACGTACGTGCGTATGAGCATTTAGCTGGTTGTCATATCTGCGGGGGCCAAAGCAATGGAGAGACGGAAACCAGTTAGAGTTACGTCATTGTTAGACTGGTAGTAGACGCTCAAAAAGTGACAAAAACTGCCGGGTAGTGTACGTGATATACTGTACATGTATCTGCAGCAGGCGTGGCATACACATTTGTATAATGGTGTAGACCTATTACCCAGTACCTCTGCGCAAAAGAAGTTCACATAATGTAGGGTATGGGTTTTTGTCTGGGTATGCACCGCACAGTGGAGAAATGGTTGCCACTCTCGAGGGAGATTAATTGCCTTCACCCCTCGTATCGTAAGCCTAGTGGAAAATCGGACTTTTGCTTTGGAAATGAAAACTTCCTTTAGACATGTTAGAACGATCGTAGTTTTTATTCCAGTCGAGATTTCCCCAGAATGCTATGTGTAAAAGCAAATTTCGTAGAGTAATTAGAAAACACTGAGTCAATTATTTAGTTAGTAACAAAATTGTTGAAATAAACCGTTTGAAGTTGTTTTTAGTACCGACTGAACACCACCGCCTCCATCACTCTCAGGTGTCAGGTCAACTCGCCCCCTGACCGACTCGCCCCTTTCCAACTCGCCCCCTCGTAAACTCGCCCTCTTACCGACTCGCCTCTTACCAACTCGCCTCCTGGCTGACTCGCCCCCTGACTGACTCGCCCCATTGACCGACTCGCCCCCTCGGAACGTCACGCAAATATGGCCGGCCCAATGTATTAAAACAAATGGTTCTAACCTACGACACGACACGAACGACTCACGGATGGTGATGGATATTTGGACATCACCACTAATCACTTATTTATTCAAACGCTTCCTACGTCCACTGTCTGATTAGGTTATTTGTACATCCAACATACCCTCAGGATCAACAATTTCGAACCCTCCATCCCATTAATATTTGGGTATGTGACTGTATCTTCTTGAAGTGACCCGACATGCAGTCAGTTAGTAATAGTGTTCTTTTGCTAATTCTCTCGACTGGGACCTCACATAAGTGACTGCAAAAATTGATTTAGGCTCTTGGATATACGCCTTTTGTGTGATGTATAAAGTCATAGTGGTACATTGTACACTAATGTCAATTTTTAACGCCCCATTATTAATTTTTTTATTTGCGTAATTTTTATTCCTTTTTTGGAATTGAATTTCTCTGAGAGTGCTCTTAATTTGTTTACAAGTAACGGGCACCACATGAAATGACTGTTTTCCCCTGACGTCATGACACCGACGGTGCATGCTGGGATATAATTCAATATGGCCGATCAACAATGTGATCGTTGATGACTGTACTCGCCCAATAAATCAGTATTTAGTGTTAATTGTGAACTAATAAATGCATCCGTCCTGTGAAGTTATCGGAACCTGAAAGTGTGTAGCGACCGTTACACCCTTTGTCATAAATCATGTCTCCTTAACACTTCCGTAGGTTTGCGTCGCCGGGCATTATGCCTAATATGTACCATTTTTTTATCTGAAATAGTTCGCAAAGTTAATTAATATGGTAGGGTGTTGGTGTTGTGGCGCACGAAATCCCATAGACAATACACAGGAAACGCTGCGCCATGGCCCATACACACGATAATACTGAATTAGTTTTACCAATATAAAGAAAATATATTGTTACCCCCAATTTCACACAAAGGGAATATTCACCAAGCCTTAAACAACTCAAATTTGAGTGCCAGCTGCAAACCCCAGAACCTATTTTTAAGGGCAGCAATCACCGATTCCATCTCTGACTGATTGGGGTTTTTTTAATGGTGAATGGGCCGGCCATACGTGCTTGGCAAACTTAGGGGGCGAGTCGGTCAGGAGGCGAGTCGGTCAGGGGGCGAGTCGGTCAGGGGGCGAGTTGGTAAGGGGCGAGCTGGTAAGGGGCAAGTCGGCCAGGGGCGAGTTGACCTATAATCCACTCTCAATACACAGAAATGACCTTCTACCCAGCTCGTTTGCTGAAATGCCTCCGATTAGAATTGAGGAAGAAGGTGTCAAAAAACTATTGCTCAACTTTAATAATACATCAAATTGGGCCGGACCAGCTGTAACTTGAAGATGGCACAGCTGCCGAAGAGCTAGCAGTTTTTTCGGCCACAGTCGCTGGACTCAGGTCCTCTGGACTGGAGAAAGGCAAACATTCCTAACTTATTTATTTTTATTTATTTAAACCATCTTTATTGAGAGTAACCCATCCAGCAGAAGCTCATCATTTTGGGCCCTCGTTAAAAAAGAAAAAGAATACTGTGCTTTATTCCTCCCATGGTACACTTATTAAATTCGGAAAACTGGTATCGATACTGTATTGCGTTATAATATCTCAACAATACTATTGTTGAGAGGGAGCTGTTTATTGTGCTCAAAAAAAAGTCTATTCCCAGCTGACGACGCTTTAGAAAATTGAATTTTTGGGGGACAATGATGAATTGCACAACTTTTCCGCTTGATCATATTTGTAGTTAATTAATCAGTCAACCAATATATGAATAAACTAGCCATTTTTGCCGAAGCCGTTTATGGCCGGTTGTAAAAATGCATCAACAAACATAATGTTGATGTGTATTTTCTTGTTTTGTACTTTTCATAGTTCACTGTAAAACGTAAACGCGAATTTCTCCATTCAATTATTTTGGAAAGCAAATTATATCAGCTGAAAGAGTGTCTAACAAGCTACAAAATGATGCAAAGGTTTCTCTCTGGAGATACAATTTGGTTTTTGAAAAGCAGGTTTTTTTGCTGGCATTTTTTCAACATTTATAAGTCTACCTTTCTCCCAAAAAAGCCAAGGTGCGTACTTCAGTGGAATATATGGTAAAACTATCAAAATAAAATATTTTTGCGAATGTTACTTATTAGATACTACCTAATTGATTAAAAGTATACCATCGAGGGAAAAAATTATGAAATGTCTGGGTCTTAAACCATAGTGCACTAGGGTTCCAAAATGTTCAGGCTGCACTGAATGGCAATGTTGGAGTAGGGAAGAGGTCAAAGCGGCCCCAACAAGAAAAGTGATACGCGTGGTAACCCGATCAAAGTGTGTGCAGTGACATCTCAATGCAGAAAAATTAAAATGACAAAGGGCCACTCCTCATTTTAGAGACCGTTCATTGAGGTCAAGGTGACATTTTAAAGGGGTACATAAAGCGAAGCCTCACCTTATTCCATTTACAAAGCAAGTGGTCCATATTTCCGGAGCACCGCTGTGTTTGTGGACAACAATATTTATAGGCCTCATCTCATCATGCTTTCCCGCACCCTCCTCATACTTCTCTTGGTTCGACTTAGCACGGACGCTGTGATCGTGGATCATGGCGACACTGAAGCAAGAGTCTTGATTTTGGGCGCCGGGGCTTCTGGCTTACAAGCAGCCAGGACTCTCCATGATGCTGGACTTGATGACTTCATCATCATCGAGGCTGCTGATCGGATTGGCGGTCGTGTCCATAGCACTCAATTCGCTGGAGTTACGGTCAACCTTGGGGCCCTGTGGGCAGCTCCGGAAAATTCTCCAACCGACCAAATTGTCAAAAAACTGGACTTAAGTCGTCACATGAGTAATTACGACAGCTTAACAATACGTAACACGACCGGAGACGATGTGACTGATGAAGCCGATGCGAACTACGAACGTTTGGAGAAAGGTATCAATAAGCTCCAAGAACTGCAGATGAAAATGCTGAAGGACGACAATATTCCAGACATGTCCCAGCGTTCTGCTCTTCGAATCGGTGGGTGGCAACAACCTCAAAGTGCTATTGACAAAGCGATTGAATGGTTTGGTTTTGATTTCGAGTACGGGGAGCCACCCGAAGTTTCCTCCACTAAGGAGGCTGTTGTAGCCCTGGGTGATGAGACCATAGACTACATCACTGACGACAGAGGATTCGGTCAAATCTTTGATGAAGTTGCTGGTTTCCTGAAGACACCAGAATACATCAACCACACACGTCTGAATCAGAAGGTGGTATCCATCGACCACACTGACGACCTATCTGTCGTTGTGACGTGTGAGGACGGTACGCGATACGTCGGCGAGTATGTCCTCATTACTTTCAGTATTGGCGTCTTGCAGAATGATTTGATCCAGTTTATTCCGCCTCTCCCGGAATGGAAAGATGTGGAGATCAAGAAATTCCATATGGCTGCGTACACCAACATCTACGTGAGTTTCCCCAGCAAGTTCTGGGATGATACTGAATGGATTCTGTACGCCAGCGAGAGAAGAGGGTACTATCCACTGTTTCTCAACTACCAGGCAGAGGGTCTCTACCCGAGCGGGACCCCCATGATGCTGATCACTGTTGCTGGTAAGATCATGTCCAGTTATCGCGGAGTGGGGACTTTTTTCCCAGGTACCCCCTCAAATAATGATGGCAAAGGGAAATGACCTTTGACACAAACACGAATGGCACTTTGTTCGGGATCTCAGCACTAGTTATGGATTTTTCGAGTTCTTAAAAGCAGATCCTGGGGTCAGGCAATGAGTACCTGCCCTTAAATTTTGGCACGTCCAACTCATCATAAAGGTTCACGCATACTTGGCGCGAAAGTGAACGAAGAACACAAATTTAATATTTGTGCTGCAAATTCGCCAAAGTCAAACACTTAATTCATAAGCTGCAATAATGTTATATGCGGTTCGTAGTCAGTTAAATTCAGAAGTTGGCTTTAAGCCGTTTTCCCAACCAAACTGACCAATTAATCAAGGCAAGTGTTAGGACAGCTTTTAAGCCAACAATTTCAACTGCTGACCACGCCAAAAGCGCCCGGCGCCCATTATCTCGGCTTTATGCACATACTATTACGTGTTTTACATTACTATATGGATTTCTGGCAGAATCACAATAACCCTCAGTTGCCGTGTTAGTTTCAGCATTTTCATGGCAAATTTATTGCTGCCATTACGCGCAGGTTTAGTGTCAATTTGGCCTGTGTTCAGCACATGAAGTCTGGTGTTTAACTTGTTTGCATACTTCATGCACTGGTCACAAGAAACTACGGAAGGACGTGTTCTGCCTGCCTGCATGTACACTACAAAACGTTTTCGTGTAATTGTTTGAGAACTAGAGTTTAGAAGTAATATTGTGAACTTGTCGAAATTTGTGACTCGCAACATGGTGCTCAGTACATTTTATTCAGTCTTTGTTTATTTTCTATTTTTGGTCTTTCAAGGCGATGAATCTCGTCGTGTTGAGGCACAACCACTGGCCAAGACAAAACATGAGATACAAGAAGTCCTCCGTAACATGTATGGTGACTCCATCCCCGAAGCGACCGACATCTTGGTGAGTGACTGGTCCCAGAACCCTCTCACCAAAGGCTCTTACAGCAACCTCCCCGTTGAGGTCCCGAGCGAATGCCGACAGAAATTGGAGAGCCGAGTGGGCCGTCTCTTCTTCGGCGGAGAGGCGACCTCCCGGCAGTTTTACGGCTACATAGCCGGGGGCCTACAGTCAGGAGAGCGTGAGGCACGCAAGCTACTGCAGTGTCTTGATGACTTTGAGGGGTGCCCTGCCATTGAAGGTATCGGCCTCGAATGCGAACAGCCGAATTTGGCGTGCAGGCTGCACGGCAGTGAAGTTCTCCTGACCCTTTTTGGTCTCCTAGCTGCACTTTTTAAAATATAATTTTAACTTGTACATATGGGTTATTTGCAAGGTACCTTAATGATGGTAAAGGGTTTTCACTGATAAATTTAGGATGTATACGTGTACAATGGCTCTCTTTAATTTCCTTGGTAAACTAATTTATGTCGCAAATAAGGTGCAGGGGTACATAATGTAGGGGTCTGGGGATTCCCTGGTGAGATAATTAGCTTTGATGTGAATGTGAACTGTGACCTGCAGGTCTCTGGCACGAGATCAATAGACCTTTTCACTAATAAATTCATAATTGTGCACGCATGTCCACAAATGGCCTAGCGGCAACAAGTGTGAGCGGGCCATTGAAAACGTACAAGGGTGCGATTTTGATAACTTTCTCTTGGGTTTTCTGGCTTTGTTCAGTTATTTTTCTACAGAAAATCCCATTTAATCGTGTTGCTATTGTTTTAATCTAAGCAGGATTTTTAGTGCCCTGTAAAAGACTTTACAGTCGTGATTTTTCCTGTAGGCCTATG